CACTGCAGAAATAATCCAGTTTGACATCACTTTTAACTGCCATGGCTCTAAGCTGTGGAATCCTAGGATCTGTAGTTTGTTGTGGCACCATCTCTCACAAAACTACAAATCCTAGATGTCCATAGCGTTGAGCCATGACAGTTTCAGATTGGATTATTTCTGCAGTGTGGATGCAGCCTTAGGGCCTTTGCAGACTGCCAGAAATAGTGCAAATTGAGTCCACTTTAAAGGTTAGGGTTAGAGTTAGGGAATCATGGGAACTATATTTTATTGTGGCACCAGAGCTCTTTGACAGATGTCTCAGGAAAAAAAAATTCTCATGATTCCCTAGTACTAACCCTAACCCTTAAAGTGGACTCAATTTGCACTATTTCTGGCAGTCTGCAAAGGCCCTTAGTTACCCTATTAAACTGAAAGATTATTCAAAGTTGGGTTTGACTTTTGTGGACGTATAGATGCATGAATGGACAGATACATAGGCGGTGGTCTATTTGGCATAAAATAGATTGGAGAAACCCAGTGAGAACCCTACATTGACCCTCCTTTCTTCCTCCGCTGAACTCAAAATTGCAACAGATGTTCCAGATATTAGGAAGGACTTAATCACTCCAAAGAGAGAAAAAAGAGCCCTGCTAGTAATATTGATGATTTGTTCATCCATTGGGTCTGCAACCAATTCATACAGCAACAAGAGCTGTGATGTTAACTTTAAAGAAGCCATTGCTTCTTCTTTCAAATGTGGCACTTTTAAATCTGGTTGGTGCTAATATCTCCAAACATCTTTAAGACAAATGCACAGGATTCTGCATCTGCGTCCTGGGAAACACACAATTTCTTTTTCCTTGCATATCCTACTGCTGTCTGAAGAGAGGATTGTAGCCTTAATCCCTTCTGGTGTTTCTTCAGACATTAATGCACATTTCAAAAGCATTCATATATTGTTGAATTTATGAACTGTTCCTTTCCTGCCAAATAGTCATCTTTATGACACGGTATCTCAATTTGTAAATCTTTAAAGTGCTGAATTTGAAATTAATCTGTGCATTGATTAGTGAGTATTGTAATATAAAAACAAAACAAACAGAAAATAAAATAAAATCCTGGTCATGAATTTGGCTGGAATGGAAAGCAGGGGAGGAGAGACCTCAGTTTGATCACTCAGTTAGTTCTTAATCCCCCAAACAGCACAATAATCTAGGACAAGTAGAGATAGAAAAGTGTTTGTGTGTGTGTGTGTGTGTGTGTCCCCTAATATTTGTGAATGCGTACCCATATTACCTTTACAGAGAGCCAGCATGCTGTAGTAGTTTGAGCAAGGAGTATGAGTGGAGACTAGGGTTCGAATTCCCACTCGGCAATGGAACCCACTGGGTGACCTTGGCCAAGTCACATTCTCTCAGTCCGTGTCCTGGCAAACTTCCGATTTCTATTTCCTTGCATATCCTGTTGCTGTCTGAAGAGAGGATTGTAGAGGAAGGCAATCCCACTGTGAACAAATCCTGCCAAGAAAACCCACGATGGGGCCATCTCAAGTCTGAAATGACAACAATAACCCAACTAATTATCTTCAAACCATGTTCTGTGAAACCAGCTTCCAAATATTAGCATGTTCATATACAGTTAGTGACTCCCATCACTCGTTCTTGGTGTTACTCAATGGCTAGCGTAGTGGTTTGCGCATTGGACTACGACTCTGGAGGCCAGGATTTGATTCCCAGCTCATCCATGAGACCCCCTGGGTAACCTTGGGCAAGTCACATGCTCTCAGCCTCAGGGGGAGGCAATGGCAAACCTCTTCTGAGCCAGTCGTGCCAAGAAAACCCCATGATAGGTTCACTTAGGGCTGCTATAACTTGGAAACGACTTGAAGGCATGCAACAACAACATAGCTTCACCTTCAAGCGTTGGTGCTTTTCCTCCACAGCTGAGTGCAATGAAGACCTTGGAATATGGAAACACTATTTTCCTGCTATGTTCTCAGGTTGGATCCTTTCTCTACAGACAGACATTTAGAAGTCTGCTTTCTCTTTGGTAGACATCTCCAAGCCCAAGTGCAGCAAGACCTATTTCTTTCATCTATGGACTCCTCATCCGGCTAGATACGCAACTTGGTGAGCAGGTGGTTCCACATGGTCATAAGCACCATGTGGCTTGAATACAAGTAGATTTGATCTTTATTGACAGCCTGACAGGCATGTGCCTGTGCATCGAGGCTCTTTGCTGACACGAGGCAAGCGTCAGCCAGATGCAAAGAGGCCCTATTAGTGTGGCGACCGCAACTGAGCGCTCGGAGCTGGCTGTGCTCTTTCAGAGGCCAGCTGTTCTCATCCTTCCTGATGCTCCCCCAAAGAATTTCATTGCCTTCCCCAACCAATATCGAATTACATAGCAAAAAGCTCCACCAAGCCAAGGATTAAAACAGTTGCATCCTCCTTGTTGCTTTTACTGCTGCAGTCTCTCTACTCCTCAGTCAAAATACTTACAGCAAATATGGTGTTTGTAGTCATCTCTGCATGGAAGTCCCTCTCTATTCTGGGTCCATTGTTGACTCAAGCGTCAACTTTTGAGATCCTAGTCCAGGGATGGAAATAAAGTGGCATTCCAGATGTGGTTGAACTCCAGTTCCTGGCATTACTTGGCATTAGCTACGCTGGCTAAGGCTACTCAGGGGTTGCGGCCCTTCAACATCTGGAGGGCTGCACAGTTTCAACTGATGCCCTGGTCTAGTAGATGAGCCAACTTATGGACCTCTATATGTTGAAGGGCTGCAACTACTATCAGTCCTGGCTCTCATAGATGTTGGTGAGGCGTTATGGGACCTGCAGCCCAACAGCATTTGGAAGGCATACCAAACTTGGATCAGCTTTTTCCTTCTAGATGTTATGGAGTACAGTTCTCACCATTAGTGGTCACATACAGCACCTAACTGAGGCCACTCATTTGATGTATCATCAGTGAACTATGGCTGCGTCTACACTGCTATATAAATAATCCAGTTTGACAGTACTTTTAACTGCCATGGTTCATTGCTGTAGAATTAAGGGAATTGTCATTTTGTTAGACATTTAGTCTTTTTTGTCAGAGGGCTCGGGTGCCACAACAAACTACAGTTCCCAGGATCCCATAGCATTGAATCATGGCAGTTAAAATTGGTGTCATCCTAGATAATTTCTGCATTGTGGATGCAGCCTACAACCCATTCTGGACAATAATGCTGCCCTTTCAAGGACACTTGGTGATGGCCTTTCCTTGCTTACAGATAACCTCCAAATTTTAAGTAGTTATTTACTACAGGAGGGTAAACAACACAGATGTGGAGGACACACAACACATGTGGACACTGGTACGAAGCCTTGCTGCAAACCCAGATGCCAGATCTGTCCACATATATATTCAGGAAATGTCATCAAAGGACCTAATGGCATCACCCACAATATTAGAGGGACTTTCACTTGCTCATCCCCAATGTGATTTATGCCATACTATGTCAGCAATGCCTTCAGCACTCTACATTGGGGAAATAGACTGGTCTCTGTGCCAGTGGATAAATGGCTGGTTATAAATCAGACATTAGGAATGGGAATACACAAAAACCAGTTGCAAAACACTTCAGTCTTCCTGGGCCTTCCCTCTTGGACCTCAGAGCAGCAGCCCTTGAACAAAAGAACTACAAAGGAAGATTGGAAAGATAAATAGCAGAATTGGAATGTATCCACAGACCTGAGACCATCAGCAATAGGCTGAACAGAGATAATGGTTTCCTTGTGCACTGCACACCGGTGCACTCCTCTCACCTTTGCTTTTGTTGCTCCCCCTTCACACCTTCCTCCCTTTTTGGCTGCTGCCACACTACAGAATTGATGCACTTTGACACCACCTTAATTGCCATGGCCCCATCCTATGGAATACTGGGATTTGTAGTTTGTTGTGACACCAGAGAGAGAAAGACAGCTAAACAGCTCACAAAACTACCGATCCCATAATTCCAAAGCATGGAGCCATGGCAGTTAAAGCAGTGTCAAACTGCATTAATTCTCCAGTGTAGATGCAGCCTAAGTTGCTTCCCAGCCAACAGATGTGTCTACCTTTTGTCTTCTATTCCCTCTTGACCTTCTTTCCCCCGCCTTTCGTGCATACCATTGTTGCAGAGGGAAGCTTTCCTTGGGAGCATCTCTCTCTATCTCTCTGCATTCACTTACTACTGATGCACTTAAAGTCATTTAGCTGCAACAACATTCATTGCCTAAGGCACTAATACTCTTACCTTGTCAACAGTTGCCAGTTCCCTGGGAGAATGAACAAAGGATATTGAGACCTGGGTGAGGCTGAGTTTCAGGAGGGTTGTTCACCTGGGAATCTTCAAATTGTATGTGAGTGAAAGGATTTCCATGTCCCTGTTTACTTATTAACTAGACTACATGCATCCTTTCTTTTGATCCACCCCACCACCCCAGTTGAATGGCGAAGATAGTTGTCTGTTGTTGCGTTGTTAACTGCCTTTGAGATGACTTTGATTCATGGTGACCCTATATACAAGATACCTCCTAGCCCCCCTCAATTGGCCTTCTCAAGTCCTGTAGTCTCATGGCCACAGCCTCCTTGATTGTGTCTATTCATCTAGTATGTGGTCCATTATTGTATTTTCTATGAGTTGTGTCTTCTCATGATATGGCCAATGTAGGACATTTGATCATCTTGGCTTCTAGGAAGATTCCGGGCTTGATCTGTTCTAGGACCCATTTGTTTGTCTTTATGGCCATCCGTGGTATCCTCAGCACTCTTCTCCAGAACTCAAATGAGTTGACAGTGGTCCCTCCACATTTGCTAGGGTTAGGGGCACAGGACCCCTGTGAAAGTGGAAAAACCTCAAATAACAAAAACACCATGGTTTTGCTTGAGACAACACCTCTCTGGGAATCTCTAGGTCCTTCAATGCAACTCTGTGGCCAACATCTGTCAGACTTTGACCATAGCATTGCGCTGGAGGAGCTGCAAATGCCTATGGGGTGTTCTCTCTAGGAATCTCCAGGTCCTTCAGTGCAACTTTTGGTTAAAGTTGACCATAGAGTTGCACTGGAGGACCTAGATATTTTTAGAGAGAACATACTAACACAATCTCTGAATAATCAAATCCGCAAAAGTCAAATCTGCAAATGTGGAGGGATGACTGTATTTTCTTCTTATCTGCTTTCTTCACTCTCCAACTCTCACATCCATACATAGTGATGGGAAATACCATGAGTTGGATGATCCTACCTTTCGTGTTCAGTTGTATATCTTTGCACTTTAGGATTGTGTCCAGTTCTTTCATAGCTTGCCAATCCTGGTCTTCTAATTTCTTGAGTGCAGTCTCCATTCTGTTCAGTATTTGATCCAAGGTATGGGAAATCCGTAATTATTTCAGTTTCCTCATTGTCTATATCCTTCGTGGTCATTATTTTTGTTTTCTTAACATTAAGCTTGCCTTACACTTTCTTCTGTGACTTTCTTGTCTCATAAGACCATCTTTTGCTAGTTCTTTTTCTTTCATTCTGTGGGACCAAGAGAGAGATAGCAATGATGAGACTAGTGTTGACTAGGACTGGGGGAATGGGAAATTTGCTTATATATGCTTGTATCTGCTGTGAAGCTCTTGGTTTGAACTTCTGCTGATCCTGAGCTCTCTCTCTCTCTCTCTCTGTCAACCTAACTTACCTTACAGGGTTGTGACAACGAAAATGGGAGAGCATGGTTATGCGTGTTGCTGTGAACTGCTAGGAAGGAAGGGTTATGTGTTAAAACATGCTTAATAATGGAAAGGAAAGCGCTGCACCCCACAATGCAAATATGATTTAATGTCAAGTTCTTCCGGCGGTGTAGAGGAAGGTGAATAGTTCAACTGAATTGAAACCAGCCTCCTGCTAAGGTTTGTGGTCCATAGAGAAGCTGCGATCTCAAAACTCAGCTTGGCAAACCGCTAACCTTTTGATGCAGAGTCACGTGGCAAAACACTTTAGATAGGCTCCTTGCCTGTCAGAAGCTGCATCCATCCAGATTTTGACTAGTTCAGAGTCTTATTCACATATGGCTCCCAATTGCACAAAGCCAGGCAGAAGTCTACTTTGGGTTTCACGTCAACTAGAAAGTGTGACTCCTTTTGCTTGTGTATTCAAAGTGTGACTCCTTTTGCTTGTGTATTCAAAGTGTGGGTTGATAGAGAACCACTTCTTTAGACTTGAGAAGTCAATGCAGCTTATCTGCAGGGTCTTTCTTTCTTTCTTTTAAAAGAAGGGGGCATAGCTGGTGTGCTTTGCAAGGAATGTGCTTTGCAGGGAACAGATGTGTGAACTTAAAAGGAAATGGGAAGGCTGTTTATTCCTAGTATTTCTGGAATTCAAGTTGAAATGTCCAAAGTGGCTGAGGAAATCTGACTCCAGAGCTGCAGTAAGATGAAGTTGATACTTCTCAGGTGATGATTTTTAAATTGTTTTCCATGGACTCTGGGGTTCCTAAGCAGACGTCATTATAGGAGACTGTTCAGTTTCAAGACCCATAGCAGCAGATATAAGGACAGAAATCTTCACTTATTTCATTCTTGTGTGCATAATTTCCAAAAATTTCTCCCTTCTGTCTAAGATTGCAAGAGTTTTTACACATTTTCTGATTCGTTTTTTCTCAATCTTTTGTGTGAAAGATATATTTGCACAAAAAAAAACAACACCTCTTTAGGGTTCTTTATAGTGTTCT